GTGTGTGTGTGTGTGTGTGTGTGTGTGTGTACGGCCACCAGGTCCTTAATGAGTGCCTGGAGAGAGAGTGTGTATGTGTGTGTGTGTCTGTGTGTACGCCTGTGGGAGGTACTTATGTGGAGGTTCTCATGGCCTGAGGGAGTAGCCCTTAGTCCAGGATTCAGATTCTTATTCCTGGAGTGAATGAATCCACTTGTTCTAGGGGCAGACTCAGGACCCCCAGCCCTGAGCCTGGAATGGGTGAGGAGTCCCCTGCTAGACTGTGAGGGTGACGTCCTTTGGGAGCCACACGCAGGCTCACTCCTCAGCCTGTGAGGAGGAACTGCCCACTTTCCAGGCCCTGGCCTCTCTCCAGGGCTGGCCTGGGCTTCCAGTGTGCCGAAGCCCTGCCCTCCACCCTTTGACCCTGGCATCACTGTCTCCACAGAGGCTCGGGGTGGGCTGGGGGCCCCTCCGCTGCAGTCTGCCCGGTCCCTGCCAGGCCCTGCCCCCTGCCTCAAGCACTTCCCGCTTGACCTGCGCACGTCTATGGATGGCAAATGCAAGGAGATCGCCGAGGTATCACCTGGCACCTCACCCCATGTCCCCCCACTGCTGTCCCCATGCCCTGTCTTTGCTCCCCATACCCCTCCACCTCAGCTGGCCCCTTACTTCACACTTGGCTGTGCCCTGGTCCCCCAGCCTCTCCCAGGGACCCCCAGCTCCTGCTGCCCTCACCATATCCCCAGACTCGGCAAGGGAGGGCCCGGGGGCTGAGGGCTAGGCCACACTGACCCTTCCTCCCCTCCCACCAGGAGCTGTTCAGCCGCTCCCTAGCTGAGAGCGAGCTCCGTAGTGCCCCGTACGAGTTCCCTGAGGAGAGCCCCATTGAGCAGCTGGAGGAGCGGCGGCAGCGCCTGGAGCGGCAGATCAGCCAGGATGTCAAGTGAGCCCCTGGCCCAGCCTGGCAGGCAGCTGTGGGGTGGGGGGGCACAGCTGGACAGCGTGTCGGGGGACACAGCCAGGCAGCCACGGGGGGCACAGCCACACTGTGGGGGGCACAGCCACACTGTGTGTGGGGGACACAGTGTGTGTGGGGGACACAGCCAGGCAGCTGCGCAGGGCGCAGCCAGACAGCCGTGGGGTAGTGGGGGACAGAGCTGAGCAGCTTTGGGGTCTTGGGACACAGCCAGGCAGCTGCGGGGTTGGAGGGCACAGTCAGACAGTGTGGGGTTGAGGGGAGGGGGCACAGGGTAGCCTGCCCAGCTTCTCTCTGTCTCTACCTGGACACTTTCAGAGCCCCATCCCTGTCCTTCTCCCTTCCTGTCCTCCCTTTGGGGCCCACTGGGGAGGCAGCATAGAGCAGTGGTATGAAGCGCAGGCTTTGGAGTCAGACTGCTGGGTTCTGGTTCTGTCTTCTACCCAGTAGTGGGGCCTGGAACGTGTTGCTTCACTTCTGGCTCTGCTCCCTCATCTCTAACGTGGGGCAAGAACAGCACCCACAGTGCAGGGTTGTACAGCCCCGTGCGGACCACGAGTGACAACACATGCACAGCATCTAGCACGGTGCAGGGGCTTGAGGGCAAGGCCCTTGTCCTCTGCCTGACCTCTTGCCCCTCTCGCCTCTAGGCTGGAGCCGGACATCCTGCTTCGGGCCAAGCAAGATTTCCTGAAGACGGACAGTGAATCGGACCTCCAGTGAGGAGGGCAGAGGGGCGTGGGGGATGCAGGGCTGGGGCCTGTCCCAACGCTGGCTCCAACCCCTCCCTTGTATGTCTCCCTTGTAGGCTCTACAAGGAGCAGGGTGAGGGACAGGGCGACCGGGGCCTGCGGGAGCGCGACGTGGCGCTGGAACGGGAATTTCAGCGGGTCACCATCTCCGGGGAGGAGAAGTGTGGGGTAAGTGTGGGCAGGGCCTTGGCTCTCCATCCCCGCTGTCCCATTGGGTTCCCCGAGCCTGGGAGCTGGGTGGGGGCTGGAGAGGGCGTTTTTCTCTTTCCAAAAGTTGGAAGGACAGAGGGTCTGGCTGGGAGCAAGTTGATGTGCTGGGAACAAAATGGTCTGAGTGTTTCTGGGGTCAAGTCCTCAGGGAGGAGATGAGAGTAAGTCTGATCTGGGTCAGAGACCGAGGAGAGTGATCACGTGTCCTTGTCTTAGGTGCCATTCACAGACCTGCTGGACGCAGCCAAGAGTGTGGTGCGGGCTCTCTTCATCCGGGAGAAGTACATGGCCCTGTCACTTCAAAGCTTCTGCCCCACCACCCGCCGGTACCTGCAGCAGCTGGCCGAGAAGCCTCTGGAGACACGGACCTATGAGCAGGGCCCCGACACCCCTGTGTCCGCTGGTGGGACCCCCTGTCCCTGCCCTATTCCAAGTGCCCTGGGGTCCAAGGCTCCCTGAGCTTGGGGCGCAGCAACCTCCGCCCTGCCTGCTTCTTCCCACACCCAGGCTCATTCCAGCCTCTTGGTGCACGAGGGGTGGAGGCAGGGGCACGAGCTGTCGTGCTGGGGCCTTTCATGTCTCTCACGCTCTGTGGGGCCTCTGGGCTGAGCAGTGGGTGGTGGCCCGGAAGAGCCTTGGCCCTGACTCCACCCTCCCCACTCCTGCAGACGCCCCGGTGCACCCCCCTGCACTGGAACAGCACCCGTATGAGCACTGTGAGCCCAGCACCATGCCTGGGGACCTTGGCTTGGGTCTGCGCATGGTGCGGGGAGTGATGCACGTCTACACCCGCAGGGAACCTGATGAGCAGTAAGAGGGGTGTGGGGTGTGCTGGGGAAGCTGTGTGGGGTGCTGCATTGGCTCGGGGGGCCCCACAGGGCCGGGCTTGCTCTGCTCACCCAAGCTCCCCCTCCATGCCAGTTGCTCAGAGGTGGAGCTGCCGTACCCCGACCTGCAGGAATTTGTGGCAGATGTCAATGTGCTAATGGCCCTGATTATCAATGGCCCCATGTGAGTACCTGCCTATCCCAGACCCTTGGCTCCCCTTCCAGCCTCCCTGTGGGCCCTGAGCCCTGCGTTGTTCTCCTCCTGCCCAGAAAGTCGTTCTGCTACCGCCGGCTGCAGTACCTGAGCTCCAAGTTCCAGATGCACGTGCTGCTCAATGAGATGAAGGAGCTGGCTGCCCAGAAGAAGGTGCCACACCGAGATTTCTACAACATCCGCAAGGTGGGCCCTCACCTGTGGCCCGACCCTGCACCTCTGCCCAGCCTCCCCCTCAAGGGCCTGGGCCCCCCAGCCAGCATCCAGTTTGGGGAGTCCTCTCCCATCCCACTGCCCAGGCCCTAGACCTTCCCGGCCTCCAGTGGACCCAACAGCCCCCTGTTCACCCCAGGTGGACACGCACATCCATGCCTCGTCCTGCATGAACCAGAAGCATCTGCTGCGCTTCATTAAGCGAGCAATGAAGCGACACCTGGAGGAGATCGTGCACGTGGAGCAGGGCCGCGAGCAGACGCTGCGGGAGGTCTTCGAGAGCATGAATCTCACCGCCTATGACCTGAGTGTGGACACGCTCGACGTGCACGCGGTCTGTCCCAGCGGCATAGGGGCTGAAGGGCTGGGTCAGTGTGGGCTGGGGTCAGAGGTGACCTGGGTCTGCCCATCTCCCGCAGGACAGGAACACCTTCCATCGCTTTGACAAGTTCAATGCCAAATACAACCCTATCGGGGAGTCTGTCCTCCGAGAGATCTTCATCAAGACGGACAACAGGGTTTCTGGGAAGTACTTTGCTCACATCATCAAGGTAGGGAGGAGTGGCTGCCAGGCCCATGTACAGGGGCAGCGTTGGCCTTGGGCAGTCTTCCCCCTGACTGAGTGAGAGCCTGGGTGTCTGGGGGTCTTGCAGGGGTGGGTGAGGCATGAAGAGGTCTGACTGGGTGCAAAGACAGGGACGGGTGGGCAGCCTGAGTGTGACATTTGCCCCATGTGTGTCTCTCAGGAGGTGATGTCGGACCTGGAGGAGAGCAAATACCAGAACGCAGAGCTGCGGCTCTCCATCTATGGGCGCTCGAGGGACGAGTGGGACAAGCTGGCACGCTGGGCTGTGATGCATCGCGTGCACTCTCCCAACGTGCGCTGGCTCGTGCAGGTGCCCCGCCTCTTGTGAGTGTCCCTGGGAGTGGGAGGGAACATGGGGGCTAGCGCTGAAGGGGCCAGGGCCTGCCTCCTGCCCTCCTGGGATGGCTGACCCTCCTCCATCCCAGCCGAGCCCTCCGAGTAGAAGGAGGGGCCTCTTCCTGGTTCCACCCAGGGTCTGCCCAGCCTGGCCCACCCAACATGCTGCAGAAGCGCTTCTGTGATCTCGGGCCGAGCCCTGACACTTACTGGCCTGCGAGGTGTCCTCACACAGGCCCTGATCTGCATGTACCTATGTGTGTACGTCTCGTCTGCAGTGATGTGTACCGTACCAAGGGCCAGCTGGCCAATTTCCAGGAGATGCTGGAGAACATCTTCCTGCCGCTGTTCGAGGCCACCGTGCATCCTGCCAGCCACCCAGAGCTGCACCTCTTCTTGGAGCACGTGAGGGGGCGGCATAGGGCTGGGTATGGGGAGGATGACCTGCCTCAGGCCCAGCTGCCACTCTGGGCCTGACCCCGGGATCCCGTGCCAGGTGGATGGCTTTGACAGTGTGGATGATGAGTCCAAGCCTGAGAACCACGTCTTCAACCTGGAGAGCCCCCTCCCCGAGGCCTGGGTAGAGGAGGACAACCCACCCTATGCCTACTACCTGTACTACACCTTCGCCAACATGGCCATGCTGAACCACCTGCGCAGGTGTGTCTCTGCTCACCCTGCTGTCTGCCACCCTCCCCCCACACACCTTGCTCTGGGCCTGCCCTGGGCTGGACCACCAGATCCCTGACCTATCTCTTGCCCTCATGCATGGACCTGATGGGTTCTTTCTCTGCCCTTGGGGCTCCATGGCTCACGCCTCACAGCCAAGAATCTACCCCTGCCCCTTGCCCAGGCCCCCACAGGCACTGGCTGGGGGTCAGGAGCCCCGACGAGCCCAGGCTCGAGCTGACACTGTCTTCATGCCCCCCAGGCAGAGGGGCTTCCACACGTTTGTGCTGAGGCCGCACTGCGGGGAGGCCGGGCCCATCCACCACCTGGTGTCGGCCTTCATGCTGGCTGAGAACATCTCCCACGGGCTGCTGCTGCGCAAGGTCGGGGCTGCACCCAGCCTCCCCTCCCGGTCGCTCACCTTCCCCCCAACCCTTCGGGCCCCTTCAGCAACTGATCCTCCTCCTCACCCAGCCCCTAGTTAGGACCCTGCCCACTTCGGGCCCAGCCTGGACTCCCCTCCACCCCCACTGTGGCCTGTACCCCTCAGAACCAGGTGTCCTCCCCAGCCTTGAGGCCACCTGACAGGCCCCCCATCCCTGTTGCCTACCCAGGCCCCAGTCCTGCAGTACCTGTATTACCTGGCCCAGATTGGCATCGCTATGTCGCCGCTCAGCAACAACAGCCTCTTCCTCAGCTACCACCGGAACCCGCTCCCCGAGTACCTGTCACGCGGCCTCATGGTCTCGCTGTCCACTGACGATCCCCTGCAGTTCCACTTCACCAAGGTCAGAACTCTACGGGCAACCAGGGGGGCGGGTGTTCTGGGACACTAAGGATACCTGGACACAGGGGGTTGGGGGGGGGTGGGGAGTGTCTCAGGGCTGGTGCTGCCCCCTGCTGGTGGAGTCAGCATGCGGTGTGGCGAGGAATGGCGGCACCCAGGGGCGCCTGTCTGAGAGGATATGGCCTGTCTGGCAGGAGCCGCTGATGGAGGAGTACAGCATCGCCACCCAGGTGTGGAAGCTGAGCTCCTGTGACATGTGTGAGCTGGCGCGCAACAGTGTGCTCATGAGTGGCTTCTCCCACAAGGTAGCACACCCGCCTGCCTGGACCTTGGCATCCTCTCTCCTCCCCTCCTCTGTGTTTGGGGAGGTCCCAGGGGTCTTGGCCTTGGGATGGGTCACGGCTGGGGTATCACCCCTCAGGGATGGCTGCAGCCCTGCCCGTCACCCCCACCCCTGCAGGTGAAGAGCCACTGGCTGGGGCCCAACTATACCAAGGAGGGCCCCGAGGGCAACGACATCCGCCGCACCAACGTGCCAGACATCCGCGTGGGCTACCGCCACGAGACCCTGTGCCAGGAGCTGGCGCTCATCACGCAGGCCGTCCAGAGCGAGATGCTGGAGACCATCCCGGAGGAGACGGGCATCACCATAAGCCCAGGGCCTCAGTGAGCCCAGCCCACACGGTGCCCGTCGCCTCTCAGCATCTTGACCACGTTTTGTCCTTGGACCCCTCCCACCCTGTTCTGGTCTCTGCATGTGTCCGTTCTTCTCTGTTCTGTCCTGCATGTTTCTGACCTGTATCTGTCCCTGTGCCACCCCAATGAGAGTGGTGCCCAGGGTCTGCTCTGCCCTTGTCTTGGCTCCGGTGGCACCTGATGGCCCAGGTTTGAGGGCTGCCCTGCCAGTGGCCCTGTCCCAGGATCCTCTGAAGCCTGGCTGTCCACAGGGGCTAGGGATGGTTGTCGGGGGCTGGCCCCTCTAGTCCTTAGGGTCCTGCTTGGGAAAATCTGAGCTTTGGCCAGGGCTTGGGGTTAGGCCCCTGTCTTGTTGATGTGCCTGAGGGGCAGTCAGTGGGGGCCTGTGCATGTCCGCTGTGGACACAGGGCTGCTGGGGGTCTGTCGGGCTCCAGCAGCTCTGCGGTGCCTAGAGTTGGGCTGGGAGCTCAGTCGTGGGCCTGGGTGCCTGGACTCAGGCCTTGGAGGTGCTGGACCACCACCTTCGCCAAGTCACTGCCAGCAGCTTCTCCGTCCTTCCTCCAGTCCACGTGCTCCTCTGGTATCAGCTTCCTGTGCTTCTGTGGGAGGGGGCAGCCACCCTGTGCCATGTTTGGGGCCACTGCGGCTGGAGGGTCATGGATCTGCCAGCAGCCCTGGGGGTGGCATTCCCAGTATAGTCTCCAGAGTTGTGACCACACCTGGACCCCGGCTGCTCCCCTGTGTTGTGTTCTGAACCGAGGCCTTTGCTGTGAGATGCAGTGTTTCATACCATCCCATCTTTCATAGTGCATGAGAAATAAACATTATTTAAGTAATGCGGCAGGTGGGTCTCTGTTGGGAGAGGGAGAGCTGTGGTGGGGTGGCTGAGGTTGGGTGCAGAGGCATTGTGGACGGAGGTACCGCAAGTTTTGAGGGGAGCCCCTGGGCTTGGCTGTGCATGCTTGTGCACGTGGAAACTGACAAAGGAAGCTGTGGGAGAGAGGAGAGGCCCCCTGGGACCCATCTGCTGCCCCCAGGCCCTCACCCAGCCGCCCCCTCTGAAGGGGACACTTCCCACCTTCTTGGGACAGCGTGGTAGATGTGGGAGTATGCACTTACAAGCCGACCTGAGGCCAGTGGTTCTCACTCTGGGGACATCAGGGTCTTCTGGGGAGCTAATTTAAAATGCCCTTTCCAGGTCCTACCCTCAGACAGTCCGATTCTGTGGAAGGTGTGGCACGGAAATCTGCAAGCACCCTGGCAGATTCTCTTGCAAGGGGTGGGAGCAAGCCTGTGCCTTCTGAGTCCAGGCTTAGCCAACTCGGCTTCTCTCCCATGTTTAATACACGATTTCTGGAGCAGCTCCTTGGGCACAGGTTGCTGGAGTCTGTTGCCTGTGTAAAGGAGGAAAGTGGAATGTGCCCTGTGCTGTGCAGGGTCCTGCGGTGGCGACAGAGAAGCCTGTCGCTGCTGCTGCTGCTGAGTGTGGAGAATGACAGGCTGGCCACTTCAGAAACAATTAGCCCTAGGACAGCGTGAGCCTGGGTAATTGAGGGCCCGTGAGGGAGCAGGAGGCTGGATTCCTCCTCCCCTCCTGTCAGCTTGCTCTGCCCCGCCCCCCATCTCCCTGCAGGAGACTCTTGGGGAAGGGGGCGGGGCAGACAGCGCCTCTGCTGCGTCTGCACCAGCTGGCTCCTTCCTCTTTCTGGGGAAGGACAGGATGGTGTGCCTGTGCCTTGCCCAGTGCTTCTGGGCCGAAGCTCTCCTGATGCCCCTGCCTCTTGAGGGCCACTCGCCAGGCTTGTTCCTGGGCAACACCCAGGGTCCTTCAGTCTCCAGAAGGCACCTGGTGTCAATTTGTTCTAGCCATTTACATATCATAGAACTGGATGTTAGAGCTGGATGATGAGCTGGAGATTGTACAATTTTGGCTGATTTCTGATCGGGGAAATAGGCTCAGGAGGTGCAAGTGGCCCGTGGCAGAACCTGGAGGCCAGGGGAGCTCAGCGTTCAGGGCTCTCCCACCCCGAGCTGGGCCTCGTCTGCCAGAGGAATGATGCTTTTCCAGGGTGAAGAGAACTTACTTTTCAAGGAGGTGAATATCTTTAATAATAAAAATGTGCTGTGTCTTCTCTTCATTTGTAAAACAAGGAAGTGGGATTCGAAGATCTTTCTAGAGGGTTCCTTGAAAGCAAGAGCTGCCTGTCTTGTGTGCCAGCACTTAGGACGGCAAGGACTCCATACTTACTCATTGAATTTGTCATATACCAGAATCTTTCATTCCATTTTCTCCTCCCTTGTACATTGTTCTCAGTGTGTGCTGAGGCCTAGCCCTCAGAATACTACCAATTTAAAGAGCTTCTTAGCAACCTCCCCATTATTTTTTTAAACAGATTGCTTCTGGATTTTGTTTCTCAGAAATTTCTCTTTCAAACATTTATCAGGAGGAAACAATTATAAAACAGTGAGGCCTTAATATTTCTTCCTATGTGAAAAAATAATTTTCATTAAAGAAATTTGGAAAAAAAGAGAAAAATGGGAAGAAGAAAAAGAGCCCACTCATCATCTACCAATTTCAACAAATATTTGCTGATCTACTGCATGCCTGAGATATATTAATATATTTTAAATATATTTTCATATATTTATATATTCCTTTGAGTTCTTTTTTAAAAAGGCATTTTTGAGTTGAGATCATATATGTATAATTTTGTGGTTTTAAAATATTTTAACAAGTCTTTCCATATTTCATTAAAATGCTCTTTATAAATATAAATTTTAATTACTGTTCCTGGTCCCATGGTGAGCCTCACCGTACTTTACCCTCATGGCTCTTCTCTGCTAAGAATAACTACGGCCTAATGTCATGGCTAACAGTGTTTGCTCTGGAGCCAGACCACCAGGGTTTGAATTTTGGCTCCACTGCTTTCTGGCTGTGTGACCTTGGGCAAGTTACTTCCCCTCTCTGTGCCTCCAGGTCCTCACCCATTTCATGGGGATAATAATAGCACTTCCCTCATGGGCTGATTTTGCATTCATGCAGTCAATCCAGTCACTGGATATAAAGCACTAAGTAAGTGCCCAATAAATATTAGCTATTATTATCTTTGCATAAAGGCTTCACAGATTGTTCCTCTAGTCTATGCCCATGAGTGAAATGACCAGGTCCAAGATATAAAATTATTTACTGCTTCTTGATAGAAACGAATCAAAGTGCGTAACCGAGGTGGAAGTCCTCTCCTTACCCCCTACCTCCCTGACTCCTCCCGTGCCATCCTTCCACCTCCCTTTTTTTGGGATCACGTCATACGCCTCCTAGTGACCTGCTCAGGGAGGTGTGTCTGGATGTCTTGGTGAAGAAGGCAGCGTCTTCCCTTTCTTGTAGTCGGGAGCCAGAGCTCTGCCTCTTGTGTGGAGAGGGCAATGACCGCGGGCGGCAGAGGGAATTTTAAAAAGCTGATCTGCTTCGAAAGGCCCCAGAGTGCAATAAAACAGGCAAACAAACTCGCCTTGCCCAGTCCGCCCTGGGGGGCTGGTCCCCAGTGAATCTGCACTGGGACTGTCCCTTGTCAGTCACAAAGCATCGCGGGCTGGGCAGTACGCGGCTGTGCCAGGCCACCTTGAACCTGCCCTGCCCTGGTTCACCTCCCTGGCGCCCCCTCCTGGAGGAGTTGAGGGGAGCGGGGGCAGCTAGCTGGCTG